TCCTTGGAGGCATTTTAAGACAAAGAGCCAGGCATCAGAGCTCATGATTCCTCATGCTGTACTTGCCACAAGCACTTGTGCCCAGGATAGGTTGAATGGTTGAACCAGAAACCTGGTCTAGTGGAAGGTATTCCTATCTATGGCAGGAGTTTGGAACTATATGATCTTTAAGGTCTCTTCCTACCCAAACTCTTCTGTGATTCTATGATTCTATGAGGGCAGAGGGATCTGTCCTTTTGTCTTGCTTCATGCTTCATCAAGACTATGGAACACCACCTATATTAGATGACAGCCTTGGCCTGAACTAGACTATATCTAACATGAAGGTAAAAAATGTTAATTCAGAGATTCCAGGAGAAAGGAAAAGACATTGAATCCCTGGAGAAACAGTTAAACACAAAATATTACAGCTACTGTGAAATATACACCTTATTTCCTCCATGTCTATGTAGTCTTTACAATATGAAAACAAAGAATATAGATTTTTAAACCCTGAATTGTGTATGTCAGAGGTAGGAAAGAACTGTTCAGGTTATTTAAGTCCTTTCCAGCAAAATCCCACTTGTGGATAAGGCACAGGAAGAGCACAGTCACTCCTCCCGCTTGCCTGCACAGAGTTCAAATCCACCCCTTCCTTGGCTCTCTTTGCTGTCTCCTGTCTCCTAGGACTGGCTCAGGATCATGAAGGAGCTTGTTGTCTGCAGGACCTCTTCATCTGTTGCAAAGGTTACAAGGTGTCTGAGGAATGAGAAGGACAGAGGAACATATTGCTCACACCCTAGACTGTCAGGCAGTGGAGTTGGATGCTGCTGTCACGCAGTGACAAATAACTCCTCTCTCCAGACTCTCCACAAAGCAGTTCCTGTGTTTTGCTCATTTTCTATCTGCCCCACAGAGGCTCTAGGTCTAATCTGCAGAAGTGTTGGGCACACTCAATCACGAGTGAAGTCAGGAAGGTGGGGATTTAACAAAATTACTCCTGTATTACCACAAACATGAGACATGAGTTTGTAGAACTGAGAGCTCAGAATAATGCATTATGAGCATATTCAACTTGAGCATCTGAATGCCTTGTTTGTACCCCAGGAATTATGATGGAAAATAAATGAGCAACTGTTTGCACAGCACTTAGAGCATTACTTAGTAAGGATGGGGACAACATTAGTATTTCCATCTTTAGATTGGAGTTTGAATAGTAGACAGGAAATCAGGCATGAAACTGCCAACTGAGCAGTGGAAAATAACTCACTGAGTGCCATCCACCCCATGGGTTTTATGCCCTTAAAAGTAATATGCAATAATATGAAAGTAATATGTTATAATGCCCTTAAAAGGCAAGATCAAAAAAATATGAACAGGGAATGAGGAAAAAAGTGACCTAGCAGTATCTAATGCTAAGTACATTACTGGGGCAAAGCTCCTGCAATGTAATCTCTTAATCATAACAGGGGTTTTTGCTGAAAAAAAACCATGGAAAACGTGGACAGTACAAAAATTCTGGTAGATGAAGTCTAGAGGTACAGCTCAAGTGCAATGCAGCCCCACAATTAAGCTGGTTTGGGGAAAGCTTGTTCTAGAAATACAAACAACACGTTTGGACACTCCTTTCAGCTGGCTTAGAGCAGGACCCGTTAACTCTCTCATAACTACCCCAGGTATGGAACCACCTTAATACAATTATTCTGTTTCCAGTGCTGACAGGGTGCTGTCTTGCACAATTGGTACATGTTTTGAGCAACCACTAATTGTGGAGTGGGTGGAGAGCTTCCTTACAAACAAAAGCACAACCTGTTTTCAGCTTCAAAGGAGAAATGTGTATTTTTCAGTAATAACTATGTATTATTTTGTTAAGATTTTTTTCAACAGCTGAGACTGATACCAATCAGTGGGTGGTTTCTATTATTCTTTGAAAGCTGGCAATAGGCCAGCAAAAAAACCCACAAATAGTACACTGATGATGGAAAGTTATCACACTTGCCCATGGGTATTCTAACTTAAACAAGCAAACTCTAATAACTTGGCTCTTTGTTCTACTTCTTTCAAACAACAGATGCACATACCTTAGGAACTAATCTCGGGAAATTCACCTCTGGCTCCTTAGAGCTCCCCAGTCTCAGTGAAGTTCTTAGAAAGATATGGCCTGGCTCTTCTTCTGTCTCCCTCCAGACTCCAGGACACAGAAGTATCTCCCTTGTCTCAGGTGCTCAGTTCATCTCACAGAATGACTGAGATCCATGCTTCCCCCTTCCAAAATCTGGTTTCCTTGGGAAAGAAACAAGACTAGACCAGCAGCTGGAATTGTCTTTGGTCTGTGTGTTTAAAGGATGAGGACCCTGAGACATGCCAAACTGCACTGGTTGCACAGATTAGACATACCCAATTTACATCAATTATCTTTCTGGTCTATTAAGTTTTGTTCCTACATTTAAATGAACAATTCCTCAAAAGTGTACTCTTTCTCTCTCCAACAGCTGTTCTTAAGCAAGAAGGAACACCTTTATTCAGATTTTCAAAATCTTTATTGAAATCATGTTTCACAATATACTGGGAGATGAGGATGATAAGATTCACTTTTGGTACCAAGATGGATGTCCTGCAGGTGGAGGTGGTGCCAGAGCTACTGCCCATAACCTCGACTTTGCTTGCTCTTAGATTATATATCTGCAATAGTACACAGATGGCATGCTCAACGAGAAATAAACCACATGGAGCCAAGTTTTTGGGCTAGGACATCTTCATAAAGAAAATGAACATCCATTACAGTCTTGTGGGTAAAATCAGGGAGAGTGCATTGACAGTGCAAGTCAGATACCCACTAGAAAAGGCTGCTCCCTGCATAAACAGCAGGCTGTCTTGAAAGACCACAAGGAGATAGAGTAATGCAGAAGACAGCAAATAACAGCCTAGCTTTCTGGAGAGAAGAAAGGTCTTTGCAATTAGAGGAGAATTCAACATCAAACCAAAAGAAAACATCATCCTTCAGCTGTCAACACTGGCACCCAGCAGAATTGCACTGAAAAACTCTCAATTCACACACCTGCAATTTCCATGCTACATGAACACTACAGTGCTTTTCATTCTACAGGGTGGGTCCAGGGCTTCACTGCCCTGAGCTCATTTCAGGATGAAGAGTGGTACACTTTGTCTGAGCACAGTTTTAAAACTTTCACTGCATTTATGTTAAAATCTCCTTCGGCTACATAGAAAATTTAGCATTTCTAAAGCAGTAATCATCAGTCATTATTAAACTAAAGCTAGATTCCCTCCCTTCCTCCTGGCCCAGAAGACACGTAATACAGGATTTTTGTGAAGCCTGTGATACCCTAAGCTCAAGATTTCACTTCATATATATTTAATGACCCGTAGTTACACAAGTCAGCAGCCAATGGTTCAGGTAGTGGCATACAGGAAGGTTCCAGGTCTGGCTGATTATTGGATATAGAAACAGAAGCCTCCTGAGCAGCCAAAGAGTTGCTGTTCCTCTGCATTCAGCGCTGCTGTGGCTGCTACCCCAGACCCTTGGATGTTGGCAAGTGGAGAGAATCAAGAACTGGAAAACACACTGCAGCAGCAAGAGAAAAGTATATATTGCCACAAAATTTCTGTTTAGCTTAACTAAGGTTATGGTTGGTAAGACAGCTCAAATGATGAAACAGCCTGTTAGTGCCAGAGTGAAGTGAAACAACCTTCCCTCTCATTCCCATTTCTCCTTCTGCTTCCTCCTTTCTCCTGATTCCAGCCACACACTCCCTTGCTTTGGCTCATGCTTGTGTTTGAGAGAGCCTTTTATTGCTAGTATGGCTCCAACCACTATGTGTTTTGGTGGATTTGATTTCTCCTGGGGCAATGAGTTAAGCTTTCTCTCAGAAGAGTTGGGCAAATGCTGGGACTGGCTGAGGGCAGGAGAAAGAGACTGCAGGTGGGAGCAGTCTCTCTGCAGTTCCTGGATGCTGGAGGACTGCTCAACTCCTGAATGCTCAACCTCCTACTGAATGTTCTTCTTAGGTGAAGAGAAGCTCTAGGGCATTCAGCACATTTAATTATTTGTGTGATGAACAATATTTGACATCAGGCAAAGAATTGTAATGAAGAAGTGAAGACTAAAAAATTGATGCTAGAGAAGTGCATACTCTAAATAAGGCAAAGACAGGCAATTATGGTAATTGACTTATGAAAGTCTCTTTCTGAGCTTGTTCTGGGGTTTCTCTGTTGCTGATACACTTTGCATCATGGTTTCTTCAGGGCAGCCTCTCCAGGACAAAAGCTGATGCCTGCCTGTAGGAGAAGGCTCAGGCAGCTGTTGGACTGTGGGACAGGTGATGTGGTCACTCCGGCTCTGATGTGTCACAGCTTGCCCGTCCACGGCAGACATACAAAACAAGGCACACACGAGGCCGTTAATGGAGTGTGCTTCATTACAGCAGAAAAAAGTAGGAAAATAAGCAGAAAATTGTACTTTTTCTCCACGAAGACGGCAGCTATCAACCAATAAAGGCACACAAACGAGTCTAAGGCTGAGTCTACAGTTCCCTGACTAGAGGTTATGCTGAGGTGGAGGCCGGACTCTGCCGTGCCTGCAGTGAGGGGACCAGAGCAAATGGCCTTAAACTGAAACAGGGAAGACTCAGATTAGGTATTATAAAAATTGTTTCACTGTAAGAGTGGTCAAGCACTGGAATAGGTTGTCAAGGAAGGTGATGGAGTCACCATCCCTGGAGGTGTTAAGAGGCGTCTGGATCCGGCGCTGGGTGATGTGGTTCAGTGGTTACAGCGGTAATGCCAGGTAGACGGATGGACTGGATGATCTTGAAGATCTCTTCCAACCTTGACGATGCCAAGATTCTGCGTGGAACAAGGAGCCTGAGGGGAGTGAGGCCACTGCCACCCCGCTCGCCGCTCGCCGCCCTCCGCCCCACAGCCGCCGGCAGACAAACTCAGCCACGGCCCCGGCCCCGGCCCCTTCCCCGCCGCCGCCGGAGCATGCGCGGGGCCGGGCCAGTTCCGCCGCCGCCCCCGCTCCCCCTCCGCTCCGTTCGTAGCGGCGCTGCCGGGATCCAGGGGAGCCGCTCCCGCCGCCCCTCTCCGTACTGCGGGCCCTGACGGACGGCAGCAAACAACCCCCGGGGCCGGAGGTAAGCGAGGGGCCGGCGGGCAGGGCCCCCTCCCCGCGGCCCTTTGTGCGCTTCTCCGGTCGGGCGGATGGACGGGGGACTGCGGGCCGGGCATGGCGGAGCGGGGAGGGGGCGACCGGCGCCGGGGCGGCCCCGCTGTGCCGCTTGCGAGGGCCGTGTGGGTGCCCGCTCCAGCTGCGGGGCCGCGGGAAGGCTTTAGCCGGGCTCGGGGCGCTGCCGGCCCGGGGGGCTCCTCCGCCCGCGAACAGGGAAAGCAGCGCCTGGATAATGCCCTGTGTGACTGCCTGTGCCCGGCTCTGGGGTTTGGGAGCGCCTTCTGGCCCCTCCCTGGGGCTCCGCGGCCACTGCACGGCGGAGGCTCGGGCATTTGTATTGAGTTCTCTTGTGACGGGCTGAAGGGTGCTGCAGCAAAAGACTGATACGACGGGCCTTTTCAGGAGTGATATACGACGAGCCTTTTCAGGCAGGCGAGTCTTGCTTCAGGTCTGAAATGGAGGCAGCAGGTTTCGGAGCTGAGCGCGTAATGAGGGCAATTGCTCCCAGGCTAATTAGATGTGTATCAGAAAGGAAATACTGAGTTATTAGTAGAGAACGCGTCTTACGAAACCGTTCCTCGGTTCGTGATGTCTCAGCCTGACCTTCGGGAAGTGTTGTCCTCGATCTGCTCTAAAGATGAATTTCGGGGCTCATAAGCTTCTAGTTACTGGAAGTGGGAGCCAGTGTTCCACTGTAAGTGCCGACATTGTGGCCTGTTGTACTTTTTCCACGGGCTACAGGAGGAAGACATATGGGTGGGGGGCGTTTTTTGTTGTATTTTTTTTCCGCCCCTCCCACAGTTTTGGCCGCTGGTGCTTTCAAAGACAGCAGTCACTGCAGACTGGCCAGGTTGGGGTTTCGCAGGACTGTCCTGCTGTGCTTTGTTCATGCTTTCCGACCTGAACAATGCGTCGAGAAGCCAGTCTCCTCCCAGCCAGGCCGCTGAAAGCAGCTCGGGATCACTCCCACCTTGGAGACTTCCTGCTGGCAGGCTCGGGCTGTCACGAGTGACGCCTTTCATGCCTCTCCCGTCGGTGGCTCGGTACTTCCCTTTGGCAAACAGGATCTCCTTAGTGGGACGTGCTGGCAGGGGCAGTCAGACTTTCCAGCCATGTGTACTGAAGAGGGGGGCGAGGTCTTTACTGCCAGCTTTTGCGGGTCGCCAGCTGAGTTACAGCTGCCGCCCCATGTATTTCCTTTTGTTTTTATTTCTACGTCCCTAAACACTTGGTCTCCTCACAGTATGGAAATGATTCTGATGTTGGTATAGATTTTTAAGAGAGGAGAGGAGGTAGTAGTGACTCACGTTTTGTGTTATCCACTCCCTAGTGCCTAAAGCCGTTAGAGCACCAGCTGAAATTCATGTTTATACTGTGAATAACACTGTACAGAAGTCGTGGACAAGTTCTTCCTGCAATTACTGGTGGTCACTGACGGTGGCAATTATTACTTAACAATCCTTTTTTAAACTAAATGCAATATTCTTGTGGCTCTCACATTATCTAACATGAAGTATCTGTGTTACCATATGCAAAGTTATGAGCTCGCTCAATGCAGTTACAGTGGTGACTGTTCCTCTGGCTATTTAGTTGGAAAACCAAAACCAGGAACCGTTGGGTTTATGGCAAGGGAGCCAGCCTAGCCAGCCAGCCTTTGTGGCAAGCACTTGGGATTGTTAACCCTTGGCTGGGGAGGGAAGGCTGAGGGGGTTGTCAAGGGGCAGGATAAACTTCTGGAATGTTGTTTTATGTAATCTGAGCACTAGTATTTGTTTAGCTTTGCTAATGCTTTTCTGCAGAAAGCACTGGGCTCCTCTTTATAACTAGCGCAAGATTGGGGTTTTCTGGTGATCAAGTAACTGTGTGCCGAGACTGGTCTGTGGAGGAGAAATGAAGCTGGCCAGGGTGTTCCATGGAAGTTGGTCACTGGGGCAGGGGATCTGGCACTGCCTGTGCTGTGCTCTGCAGCCCTGTGGATGCCAAGATCGTCACCTGCAAAGTGCTGCTGTTGCGCCTCTCCTCACCCTGCCATGGGGTGACTCCTTTGGGAACACGCTGTCCTTAGCCTGCCCTCTCCTGCTGCCAGGGTGTGCTGGCTCTGAACATGTGCCAATGCTGGGACCAGCACATGAACCTGCCAGGGCTGCTGTGGCACAGAAGGACATGCTGACTCTGATGCTGTGTGTGCCTTGGCTGGTGTGAGCAGCAGAGTGGAGCATCCAGGAAGCACTTTCCTGACCAAGAGCTTGGGCTTACCATTAGCCATTTCAGATGAGCAAAAGCATTTCATTGTTTCAGGTTGATACTGGATTAAAACAGAACTTCAAACTGACCTTAAATGCATGTGTTATAGCTTCCTGGCTTTAACTGTGTTTGGTAGAGTTGCAACAATTAATCAAAAAAGTCAGTGGCAATTAATTATTGTAATATAACAGACCACGTGTTTACAGTTTAGACCTCTGTCACATTGAGAGCATGCTTTTTTGAAGTTTTAATTGCAGTTTGACATGATACTAGAGCTGTTGGGCCCTGCTGAGCAAACATAAAAGCTGTTGATGAATATAGTGTAATATGAAGAGATGTCTATTGTGTTACTGCAGTATCACATTAGGCATCTGTGTGTGTGGTGTTCATTTAGAAATAGACTGTGTCTGCACTTAAGGAAGCAATCGCTCAAGGATTTATGCAATGGTCACTTTTAGTCTGAAATTTTTGCTAAATTGCTATTTTAATAATTTCAATTCAATTCAATTCAATTTCTTTGAATGAGAAAATGAATCCCCAAACCAAAATCCTTTAGTAAAACTTCTGTATTAACTATGTTTTCAGTACCTTCTGTGACTTGCAAAACTGTATCACATTTTGTTGTCTTCTGGTTATGTCCCTCCCCATCCCTCTCACTAAAATGTTCCTATGTACTGATGTGGAATGTTTTATTGTGGGTTTCAGAAGTTCAGCTGATCTCAGTGAGAGTGTGAGTTAAGCAGCTCTGGAAAAATGGGATTTCCTGAAGCCTCAGGTGACTGGTTCTAGGAGAGCTGGATGTCAGCGTGGTGCCTTAGAGTACCATGTGAAGTGGTTTAGGGTTTTTTTTTTTTGAGTTTTGCTTTAGGTTTGGGGTTTTTTTCCTTTTTTTAAAACTTTTTTTTTTTTTTTAATTACTTCCTGATAAGTTGTCACAGGGGCTCTCTGAACATCACATGACAGGCAGCCTGGAATTTCTGTGTTTTGAAACTCACCACTGACTGAATCTTCCTAGTTTTTACAGGTCTCTTGATGCAGTTAATGTGTTGCGAATGGAAGCCAAGGTCTGTCTAGAGGCCTCTTGCTGGATCTCATGATTTAGCTCCAGCCTAAAACTGAGCACCACAAAATTGCTTGCTGATTCCCCCTGCCCCAGCAGGATGGGGGGAGAGAATCGGAAGAGTCAAGTGAGAAGTCATGGGTTGATGTAATTAGATAGTTTATTGTGACAGAAAAGGAAGAAAAAACCAATTTAAATAGTTGGAATATACAAAATGAGTGATGCACATTGCCACTGCTCACCACTTGCTGATCAATGCCTGTGCCTTTGGCCAGGTTTTCCCCCAGTTTATATACCGAGCATGATGCCACATGGTGTCCCTTTGGCCAGTTTGGGTCAGCTGTCCTGGCTGTGTCCCCTCCCAGCTCTTTGTGCCTCTGCAGCCTTCTCACTGACAGAGCATGGGAAACTGAAAAGCCCTTGACTTAGTACAAACACTTTTTAGCAGCAACTGAAACAACTAGTGTGTTATTAATATTCTCATCCTAAATCCAAAACACAGCACTAGGAGGAACATTAGCTCTATCCCAGCCAAAAGCAGGTCAGTGGAATATTAGAAGTGTTGAAAGAGTTTAAATATTTTAGACAGCAGAGCGGAAGCTTCCACAGTTGAATGTAAAATGCTGTCCCTGTTGAGACAGGAGTGATTAGGTTTTTCCTCCTAAACCTCATTGTAATTGCTTCTTGGCCTCCTAAAGTCTTTCTTTGCTTCCTGCAAAATGTTTTGCTCTGTGTAGGTTTTCTCTTCATTGAGACCTAAACTTTGACAGTGCTAAGTATATTAAATAAAGCCTATTAGCCAAAGGCTGCTGTTGATAACAGATTAAATGGATAGTCTTAATGGAATTCATCTGTAGTGCCAGGTATCTTTATTGCTGACTGGCAGGTCACAGAACACTTGTTTAGCACTTAGTCTGGTTAATTTATTTAAAAGAAAAAAATTAAGGAGTTAAACTCTGTAAATATCTGAAAGCTAATCCTCTTGTTTGTTTGCTTTCCCATTTGATTTTTTTTCTAGTCTGCCTTTGCCCGGTAGGACTTCATCAAAATGTCTCTCTATCCTTCCCTAGAAGATCTGAAGGTGGACAAAGTTATTCAGGTATGGTGGACTTTAAAAAAGATGAGTTTTAATGACAATAAATTATCTGATATTTAATCTAGGAAAGTGGAGACTTATTGTAGTTGAGAACTTGTTGGAAACGACAACCTGTTTACTTTGTAGCTTTATCTGATATGATTAATGCTTATTTTACCACCTGGATATATTTGTTTTGCTTTATCTATTCATTTGTGTTCATTTGTCTTTAATATGTTTGGGTTTTTTGAAATACAGATACATGGTCTTAAGTAGACAAATATAGTCAGTGTCTTCACATACTTCAGCTCTGACTTGATGACTAAGCTAATAAATCTGCTGCATCTCATTGCCAGTGTCCAAATCTGTGGCAGAAAGCTTTTGTGGTCATTGGAGTAAAAAAAAAAAAAAAACAAAAAACAAACAAACAAACAAACAAAAAAAGTAGCACTGGCTGTCTTAATGGCATCTGGAATCAGACTTGTCCTCTGGCTGTTTCATGGTAGTCACCAGTTCTTGCAGTACTTCCAAGATTATCACCTTTGTGCAAAACCCTTTATTTGTAAGAATATTATTAGACATGACGAGGACTAAAACATATCTGTGAAACAAAATAATGAAAAACACTTGAATGAATTAACAAGTCTATGAGAAGTTTGATGTGGATGTATTTCACAAGGAGTTTCCTTACTTTCTTCAACATTTTACCTCTTCCTGAACTTAACCTGCATTTCTTCCTGGTTTAAACAACAGCAAGAAGTTATAGTGTGTTTTAAGGTGGCTGATACTTCTGTCCTTGCTGTTTTCATTGGGAAGCCATCAAGCAAACTACTAGAACAGCTTCTTAACTCTCCTGTGCTATCCCAAAATGCAGTGCCCTGTCTCATCTGTGTTTGTATGTGTGGGGTGGGGTTTTTGCAGTTGTGGGTGCTGTGTTGGGATTGCTCCTTGTTGTGTCCGTCCACTCCATTCTTCTTATGTAACCACAGTCCTTTAGCTACAGTCTGGTAAAGCTGGACTAAAAATTGAGTAGCCTGGAGCCAAGAGCAGGCTCCTTTGGCCTTTTATTGACCACCTGCTAGAGCTTATGTATTACAGTTGAAAATGTTCATAAATGTAATCAGTAAGCCATAACATTTTCACTGATACTTCTCATAGAATCACTGAGTAGTTTGGGTAAAAGTCCTCTGCAACAAGCAGGGACATATTCAACTCCATCACTTTGCTCAGAGCCTTAAATGTCCCAACCTGACCTTAAATGTCTTCAAGGATGGGGCATCTAGCACCTCTCTGGACAGCCTATTCCAGTGCTTCACCACCCTCATTTTGAAAAACTTGTTTCTCATATCTGGTCTAAATCTAAATCTAACCCTCTGTTAGTTTAAAACCTGTATCCCTTTGTCCTCTTGCAACAGGCCCTGCTAAAGGGTTTTGTCAGCATCTTTCTTATAAAGCTCCCTTTTAGTATTGGAAGGCTGCTCTAGGGTTCTCTTCTCCAGGCTCAACAACCCAGCTCTGGCAGCATTTTCTCATAGGAGAGGTGTTCCATCTTCTGATTTGATTACTTCTGTGATAATTTCTTTGGGGCCTGCTTCAGAAGGTTCATGTCTTTCTTGTGCTGGGGGTCCCAGAGCTGGACACAGCACTCCAGGTGGGGTCTCACAAGGGCCGAGTAGAGAGGCAGAATCACCTCCCTTGACCTGCTGGTATCAAAGGCTAAATTATTTCCTTCTCCCAAAGAATTCATTATAAAAATGCTGTCTCTTTAAATAAGTCTGAGGGCATTCTTAGGAGAAGAGGGGGCAGAGTGCTGAAAGATGTCTGTATCTGCAGCGAGTGACTAAGATTCAAATGACTGCTGGCTAAAACAAACAGACTTGTTACATTAAATATTATTCTAACCTGCTCTTTTTGTCCCTCATTTGAGTTGGAGCCTGTGCTTCTAAATACACGTGATATTGCTAAATAATGACTCATTCTTGCTGTGAAACCTTTTTTTAAAGACAACTTCCTGGAGTGAACAGGACTGAGAAGTTTTCTATTTTCAAGCGTTTCCTTAACATCATGAAGTAATTTGACTGTCATGTTGCGTTAGAAAATTTATGTGTCCTGTTCAGGGTAACGTTTCAGTATGCATTGAGTACTTCCTCCCCCTGCCCCCCACCCCTGACATTCAACCTCAGGAAAGTTACTGGAATAGCAATTTCCATCATGCTTAAGAGGCCTCTCTAAGGCTGTATTTTTCACTGGTCATGAACACACAAGGCAAAAAAGTAGAGCTGAGGCATTGAGAAGGAAGGAAAGTGACTCACAAATATGAGAGAAGTTAATAAAGTAAGCCAGTCAGCAATACAGAAATAAAGCTTAATGTGTTCACTGTAGTGGCTGTAGAAAAATAATCTTGGAAGGTCTGATTCTTTCAGAAGACATATTAGTAGCACTGGAACCTGACATATTAGTAGCAGTGTGGAACCTGACACCTGAAAAAAACTATGGATCTCACTAACAGTGTCTATAAATGGTGTGAAGTAAAACTGCTGCTCTCTAGCTGAAAAAAGTAATTGCAAAACACTCTGCTAAAGGTCACACCTTAAAACTTATTTGTTAAGCTTTTTTGGACAAAGGTAATGTTTCTTTAAGGCTTTTTAACTTGCTTAATGATGTAAATAGAACAGGTTGACAGGAAACCCTTTTTGCATTATCATTGTAGCTCTTTCTCTCAGGAAGATATGAGCTGATCTGCCAAGTAGCTCTGATACTATTATAGCATGTTGTATTGAAGCTATTTATTTCACATAAAAAGTTCAACTTCATTACTTCAAGATGAATAGTAATTAGCATGTACAAGAAAAAAAGAAAATACTGAGTCTCCTGCCTGCATAATTAAGATTTATTTTTTCTTCTGCAAGATAACATATGTGAGTTTCTTTGCTTTTAGGCTCAGACGGCCTTTTCTTCAAATCCAGCTAATCCAGCAATCTTGTCTGAAGCTTCAGCTCCAATTCCTTGTGATGGAGGTAAGCTCATGTACTGCATAGTATCCTATGGATGATGTTGTGGAAAGCAGTTATGAAATCCTCAAGTTAACAGTACAGTAAAAAATAGCTATAAATATGTTACCCTATTTACAAAGGGAAATAAATGTTACCCTGTTTACATTTCCATTTTGGAAATGCTAGCACCCACCTTGGTAAGGTGCTATAGGAGTCAAAAAACAGTGTTTGCTTATAAAAGGAAGTTGTGGCAAGCAGTCACCCTTCTCTTTTTGCAACCTTTTCCAAGTGTGCCTACCATAACAAGATTTGATGTTGGTGCCTTTGGGCTCTGTTAGCTCTTACCTCAGACACTTAGTCGTCCTTATTTATCACATATGTATTTATAAGCTTTAGAGGACAGTGTGAGTCAGTCTTTGCTCTACACTGAGTTTGCTTTGGGACAAAGACAAATCTCTGTCAACAAGTGCCCAGGAAGCTGGCACTTAATCTTGTTGTGCAACCAACATAAAGCTTGCAGCAGATTTTGGAATCAGATTTGTGGTGGGAAATCCATCAGATCTAAAGCTGAATGATTTGTACTTGTACTTTCTCCTTCTTTTCTTCCATGCATGTGTACATCCACAGAGGTGCACAGGTATGTTTGAGGTTAGAGCTCTGCTTTAGTAAATTTAAGTCTAAAAGGCCTAAAGCCTTGTGATCAGCAAGACCAGCAGCAGTGCTGGAATGGTGGTCAGGAATTGCTCAATCAGATATTAAAGGTTGGTGGATGGAACTTTGTCTCCAGTTCTCCTCTGGGTGCTTCTGTGTCTAAGATGACTTTAAGGCAGATGTTGGCATAGCTCACCAGAGTTGCCTCTGGTAGATCCTATCTGGATTAGGTACTTACCTGGCCTAACCTCACCAGACCAGATTTGAGATTGCTTCAGCAGTCTTGGCAGCTCTGCTGTCCATAGTTTGAATTCTTCTGCATGTGTTTAGCAAGCAGGAACCAAAACATAATTTTGACATCAGTTTGTGTGTGAATTGCTCTGGAATTCTGTGACTGAAGAATGATCAATCATTCAATATATCCCAAATGAAAGAAGGCCTTACATCACCTATAGGATTTGCCAGACCCACTGGAAATGCTTCTGTTCTTACAGAAACAGGAGACTGTACAACATCAAGAGTTTTGTGTTCTGCTATGAGTTCCATTATTTGGAGCATTCTCTCTTTTAAATGAGAATTTAATTCAGCCAGCAAAGAATGCATCTGGTGTAGTAAAGAACAAAACAGAGGAATTGTGTAGCTGCAGAAATCTTGTGCTGTGTTGTGCATAATCCTAGGGGCTTGCTGAAAAAGCAAGCAAAAATAGAAAAATTCTTCATCAAAAGCTTTTTAATCAATATTGATGAAGCTATAAGCTTCTGGGTTAGTCCAGAAATATGATCAGACTGCTCTCATGCAAAGCAGCATATTAAAGAGCAAAAAAAATCTGTTGTTTATACTGGCATTCACCTTGCATTGACCTTTGCTCCTTCCCAGAAAAGTTACTCTCTGTTGCTGGTCAAACATGGATTCTTAAAATAGCTGGTTTTATACATTTTTACCCATAAATGAACTCTAGAAACCTAAGCCTTGTGTACTGGGGAGTGTGGTTCTGAAGCCCTTCTTTCCACTGCCTCTCTCTCTCCAAGCAGCTTTTTCTGTCCCCACTCATTTAGTGAGAATATCAGGGGGACTCTTAAGAGTTCTCATAACTGGCACTTGTTAGATGGCACCAGTTAATGATCTGTGGAATGTCAAGAGCAATATCAAGGTTATTTCCAGAGTTGTTCAGCTCAAGGTCTGACAAGCCTGTCAGTTCAGCTTCCTTTCCTCCCACTCCTTGTGCCTCTCTCTGCTTGAGTATAGAGGGTTGTTTTAAAGGCTGTGTGTGTTTTGTCTTGTTGAGAGGCATGTGTAAAGCCCCTCCAGTTTGAAGCTGTGACAAACTGACAGCTGCTTTCTCATGAAGACTCACAGCAGACTGTAGTGTGAACCTTAGAACCAGGAGGCTTCTGCAGAAACCTTCCCATGCCTCAGATCTGGAATATGCTTGGTGTGAATGCCCCTTGCTGTTTTTGAACTCGGTGGAAGGTGTCTGTGTGTGTTCTTCAGCACACCTGGTTTGGGGGTGGGGAGGGGAGCAGTTCTCCATAATTGCCCTGAAGTTCTGGAGTTGAAGGGCGTGTCCTTGTGCAATGCAGCACAGTGTTGGTTTTGGAACGTCACCGTGTGTCTATTGTTCTTTGTGTTGTAAAGGGTGGATAGAGTAAGTGAAACTGAAAGTTCTCCTCTGAGTTCTTTCTCTCAGAAGTGCTGCTTGTCTGGTTACTCTTCTGAACCAGGCCAGAATAACAATTCTGATTCAAGTGAGTCTTCTGCCATAATTTTCCAGTTAAATAATTACAAAAGCACAAGATTTGTTGAAGTAATTGTTCCTGTGAAAGCAGTTAACTGCTCCTTCTTTTAAACCATTGTATTGATTTTTTGTTTTGTTTTTCTCCTCTAGGCTTGTACCCCAGATTGTATCCAGAACTTTCTCAGTATATGGGCCTGAGCCTCAATGAGGAGGAGGTGCAGAGAAACTTAGCAGTGGCAGCAGCTGCTCAGCCACAGGGTGTAGGTACCAGTCATGCATATTCTAGAAAATAAAAGTGTAAAGACTAAATGTGTATCTAGCGTTCTAGAGAATAGATTATTATTTGCCTTAAGTACCATACTTGACTGAGAGGTGAATTATTTAAGTTGCAGTGCCTATTTTAGTCTGTTCTGAAACTGAGCAATCCATTTCCAATGTTGGGAAGGGGTGGGGAAGACTTGGTGGTGTGGCTTATTTTGTGTGTTGTTTTTTTAAAATACCACTTCATACAAACTGACATATAGCTGTTCTTAAAAGTTGAAACTAAGTTGTCTGGCTGTTTTGTTTTAATCAGCAACTGGTAACACGACCTTCTACTAATTACATGGTAGCTCCAGTGACTGGAAATGATATTGGAATTCGCAGAGCAGAAATTAAACAAGGCATCCGTGAAGCAATTCTGTGTAAAGATCAGGATGGCAGAATTGGACTTCGTCTTAAGTCTGTTGATAACGTAAGTGTAGAATTTGCTTTTGCCTCCGGAGATTTTATTGCTGGACTATATTAGCAGTGACGTTAGGATGCAGTCTGGTCACAAAATAGTCTTCTGTATAACGGTTTCTTATCTGTTACTGGAATTTTAAAATCCTTCATTAGATTTGTAATTAGATTTCCAGCTCTCTGGACTAGAAACTGAATTTACAGGTGCAGTTTAATGCCTTGTGCTTTATAAGATCTGAAAAATACATGAAATATTTTTTGTTTCACTTTAGGGTGCGAACTTGTCCTTGCATAGTTGCTGTGATACTTTTTATCAGTTCAGGACTGCTTGTCTTTACCTTTGTGCAAATACTGGGCAGTACTTAATGTTCAGCAGTATGTAATAACTGCCCACTGTTTACAAGTATCTCCTTTTTTGTAAAAGGTGCTTAAACCATTTAAGTCATTTAATCTGAATGTTTTAAAAAATTTGTACTGCAGGTAGCATATAGGGTTAAAATACTTTTCTGTAGTTCTTCTAATGCAGAAAATGGGGTTTTCGTAGAGTAGCATGGGGTGATATTTTTTTTTAACACCCCTCTCTCCCAAGGTATTATTTATAATTTGCTTTGATATGCTTTACTTTGATTTAGGGGTGGTTTCACTAGAAATAGTTTTGTAACACCTGTCAAAACAGACAAGTATTTACCCCTTTGCTTAAGACTTTAATGTTATGCTAATATTTTTTTAAAATTTGTAATATTTAGAAATCTAGATAGATTTGCTTGGTTTTGAACTTTGTTCTTGCATTAAGTATCTGTCAGACTTTCAAATATATCTAAAAACAGACTGAAATTTCAAAATTGCCCCTTATGAAGAGATAATTAGCAGGTCCTTTTGTCTTGTCTGTTTGGCTGATATTGTGTAGAATGGCAAACTTTAGGGGCTGTGTGTTCTGTGACTGGTCTTCATCTTTAAGCAAGAACTTCCCTTTCTCCTCCCCTCCCCTTTTTTCCCCTCTCTTGTAGGGTATATTTGTCCAGTTAGTTCAGGCAAACTCTCCAGCATCCCTTGCTGGTCTGCGGTTTGGGGACCAAGTTCTGCAGATCAATGGTGAAAACTGTGCAGGATGGAGTTCTGATAAAGCACACAAAGTTCTGAAACAGGCTTCTGCAGAAAGAATTTCAATGATCATTCGGGACAGGTAAAGCCAGCTGCAGATATGGATTTGCCATAATCCATCATTGAGTAATTCTGAGGCATTTGGGTCTCCCCTTGCTTGTGCAGGTTTAACAAAATCTCATTGTCCATGTGCTTCAGTAGTAAAGATCTTCAGAAATGTTCCCTTTTGGGGGGAGCAATCAAAATGGTTCCTAAATTGTAAACTTCCTGGGCATGATGAGGCGTAACATTTTTCCAAGATAAACTAGTGAGTGAGAGATGCCAAAAGCTAAATTTAAACTCTGAAGAGTTCTGTGCTTTTTTTCAGATAGAATTTTTTAATTTAGTTAAGTCAAAGTCAACAATAAAAGTAACAAAATGTTTGTTGTATTAATTGATTTGCATTTTATGTAGCATGATATCTTTTCTTGTGAACTCTGTTGCTTACATAGAAATGAATGCCAATTTTACTAAAAGCATGCTTGATGACCCAGTATGTTTTTTAAATCATGATCTTGTAGCTAGCTGTATGTAGTAACCACAGGTCAGATTCAACATAAGGCTTGTAGGCTGCAAGAAGACAGATGATACTTCATGTGACTAAGTGTATGCCTCAAAGCTTTTTCCATGCTCTTTCCTGCTTAGGAACCAAGCCTGACTCAGTGGAGGGCAGCTGCTTTGATTGGGGGCAGTTACTTCAAACACTGAATTAAAATATTGTGCCAGTAGATTCCCTGCTCTCGCTACCACTTCTGTGCCCAACATGGCACCCTCTTCCTTTATCTACTGCCTTTTTAAGAACAATTTAAAGGTTTATTGTTCCCAAAGCAGTTGAAATGTTGTTGGGAAGCCTTGTGCTTTCAGAATCCTGTAGTCTACCTACAGGTGTTAAAACTGCCTGCACTGTCTTATTGACCTTGTAATGTTTGTAGAAAACTTTATCTTTAGTGAATGTTTGTTTGGTTGGGGTGGTAGGTGGGTGGATGTTGTTTGGGATTTTTGTATTATTATTAATCCAGATGGTGAAATATCTGTAAAACAGGGACAACATAGGTTTATAATGTTTATAAACAAGTATATTTTAATACAACAATATTAACAAAATTAAGTTAAACCAAACAACTTTTCAATATAGAAAATATGAGCCCCTTAGAGTACAATTACTTTTTTATAAGCTAAAGATGCTAAAATAGAATGTGTTTTTTTCTGTGGTTTAGTAGACTGAAGATTTTTATTTTAAATGTCTTTTTAGACCTTTTGAACGAATTATTACCATGCATAAGGACAGCACAGGGCATGTTGGTTTCATATTCAAGAATGGAAAAATAACCTCAATAGTGAAAGACAGTTCTGCTGCAAGAAATGGACTTCTGACAGAGCACAACATCTGTGAAATTAATGGCCAGAATGTAATTGGGTTGAAGGTAAAATAACCACTATGTGCGGGGTGTGGAATGCTGTGAGCTTTTTATGTTTGTGTAGTGTGTTTTGGAGAGACAGAAAAGGTTGTAATATATTTTTCAGTCTTCATAAAATATAAACTTCAGTCATGATGTAACTTGACTGGAGAGAGAGATGTTTTAGGCCTCTGTGCAGTTTTGTATTGGTTGTCAGGGCTGCCCATTCTCATCCTCTCTGCCTCTACCTGGCAAGACTGGCCCTCTCTTTTTACTTGTAGTCCAACCTTGCTGGCAAAGAAAGGGTCAGCTTCCTCCTTCCAACCTGCATCAAATTTTAGCAGGAATTGTGTATGACATCTATGTCCGTTCTCTAGTCAGTTCATGCAAGATACTTTTAACCAAACATCTGTGAAGTGGCATTGCAGTTTCAGTGATTTGTCCTGAAGGTTGAATACTCCAAACAAGGAGTTGGGGGGTGTCTCAAAACCACGTGAAATGTGTCTAGAAGGAGCTCTTGAACCACTGCTTTCTAAGTCAGCTTGAGTTGTGTTGCTCATATGACTTCTTGTTTCTGACAGGACTCGCAGGTTGCAGACATCTTGGCAACAGCTGGAAACGTAGTGACCATCACTGTCATGCCTTCCAGTATTTATGAATATATAATAAAGAGGTAGGTAATACAAAGCAGCTGTGGTGTTGTTTATAATCCAGTGGACAGTGACTAGAAAGTGTACTCGTGATAAGATGTCATTACAAACTTGAAGACTGTAAGGGGTGGGTGGAGATGCCTGAAAATTTGTTTAATCTGATGTTTTGGTTAAATTGGCGTGTGTTGGTACTGCTTTTAACCTATTCTGTGTTTGTGATGATCCTTTGCCTTTTCCTCTCTGGAAAAAGCCTTTTCTACACTTCTTTTGACTAAGCCTGAATTTCTAAGAAGTGAATACTAAGGTATTTGTTGCCTTTTAACTAAAATGTTGTTTGTACTGCAAGTAATTGCTGTGGCTTAAAAGTGATTCTGGGCAGGATGGTTCTGGGTTTCTTCCTAATCCTTTGGAAACAATGGCTTTCTACAACTAAATCTGTCCTGCATAAATACTTTTTGAAGTTAGTAGACATTAATAATGCTTCAGGTGTAATTGAGTCTTTTTTTCAGGTAAAGGAAAAGGATACACCCTTGGCTTGGTATCCTCTTTCTACAGAGCAGTTCTCAGTCTAACAGCCACCTTTTCCCTCTGCTCTCCTTCCCTTGTGCTTGTACTCTGCTTGCCACATGTCCAGACCCTAAAAGATACCAACAACACAGCTCAGGTGCTAATAGAAGTGTTGAACACTGTGGGCTTCTCTTCAATCTCAGTGTTCAGTTTCATGAGCTGTCTGTAGCAACTTGTCAAAAATAGTGGAGTGAAAGTCCAGCTTCTGGTTTGTATTGAAGTACTGGCCATGACAAAGCTACTGTGAGCAGAGGCTTGAGTGGTCTTCTGTAGTTATCTTACAAACCTGAATGCCTTTTCCTTTTCCTTAGGATGGCAACTAGCATCATGAAGAGCCTGATGGATCACTCTGTTCCTGAAGTCTAAACTTGCACCATGGATGTGTGTGTACATATATATAATGATGATTCCACTAAACTTGGGCTATTATACTCAGTGATCTCTTTCTTCTGCACATGAGCCTTTCTGGAGGCTGAGAGAAGATATGCTGCATCAAGCATTTGCATCTATAATGGCTGGGAATGTCACCGTTCAACATATCTCGTGTATTCACACACTGTAAAACTTGCAGCCTTACATGCTTGACAATGTGAAATTCCAATTATGTTATGACTTCTTTTTGTAGGTCTTTTATTTAGCTTACTACTACTATAAGCCATTGCAACTAAAGGAACCAGGTATCACTTGCAAAGCTACATGTTGTTACCCAGGACAATGCTGTGCTTTGTATGTCTAAAAAGAATGAGTATTTTTACTGCTTTTTGTTTGCAAGAGTAGATTTGAAATAGCATATTAGAAGTAAGGCTAGTGCTAGTTAATTTTTTGTTCTAGTAAATACTGTTTACACAAAAATGCCACTTAGCTGAATATAGCTCAAGGCATCAGTAAGCGTTAATTAAAGTAGTGTACAGATACTGAAATCTTTTTATTACTTGTTATATGAATTGTAACAAATATGCTTCTCTCTCGCCTTAACCATGTTATTTTAAGGATTTAGACATAACCAAATAAATGACCAAAACTTTACATCCTGTGTGTGTACCTACTTCAGGTAAAACAGGCTTATTTTATTGAGGTCAGTTTCAGCCAACAACTAAGATAGGAAATGCAGTGTAAAATATTTTAAAAATCTTACTCCTTTTAACATTGAAATGTTTCAGAAGGGGTAGCTCTGGACTACTTTAAGCAAGATGTGTTGAATGGAAAAAAATTTTCACTGTGAGGGTGCTGAGGCACTGGAATAGGTTACCCAGAGAAGCTGTGGATGCCCCATCCCTCAAAGTGTGTAAGGCCAGGCTGGATGGGACCCCAGCAGCCTGGTCAAATGGAAGGTGTCCCTGCCCATGGCTGGGAGCTGGGAACTAGGTGATCTTTAAATCCCTTCCAACCCAAGCCCTCTAATGATTCTAACTCTCTTTCCACCTTAAGCTTAACATGGAACAGCAGCCAGCTGTTGTACAAGATGTACTAATTGTAGAGTTGCAATTTCACTGTAAAGTGGCCTACAGCTTGCTGGGTGTGCTGGGTCTGGCTGGGTTAATGAAGGTAATGAAGTAGGAGTTGAATTTAATTTTCTTGTAGGAGCGGGTGTGGGGCTGTGTTAGAGGCCTGTGACCAAAGCAGGGCTGATAACACAGCAGGGCATTTCCTGAGTTGAATGTGCACAGTGTCAAGGCTTCTCCTGCTCCTCAGTCTGTCCCCTGTTCCCAGAGGGAGAGAGGGAGCACAGCTGAGGCCACTGATCCAAACTGACCAAAGGAAAATTCAACACCATTATGCTCAGCAATAATTAGGGGGGAATCTTTCCAAGGCAGTTGTTGGTCTGGGCATCAGACTGCTGTGGGAATAAGGGTATGATTACCTTTGCATCATTTCTTTTTTCTTCCCCAGTTTCTGTTTTACCTTTGTTTAGTTCTCCTATCCATTGCAATCTGTAAATTCTTGTAGCTTTTGCACTTTTGAGTCTCTTTTCCCTCTTGCTATGGGGTAGGGTGAGTGAAAAGCTGATCATTGGGATCAGCCCACCACAACAGGTCAGGGGCATGTTCAACTGAGACTTGAAGTTTAGTGATTTTTTTACTATTTTTTCCCCCTCTGCTCTGTTCCAGGTTACAGCTGTGAAATCTAGGATTACTGAACTTCAGGTTTCCTCATAGTTGGCAGCAGCATGAAGTCAAAGCAAAGAAGTTGAGTTCAGTAGAGGTATTATTTTGTAAAGATATATTTGGGGAATCACTGTAGCTATTCCTTCAGAATTTACTTGGATCAAGAACTGGTCTGGGGGTGGTGGTGGCATCTCAATTATTTCTTTGTCCATTTAAGGGACATATGCAAAAGATTCTAAGAGATCACACCAAAAAGAAAATCAAACATTTCAGAGCTTGGCAGTGTGCAATAAACAAAGTCTCATGTACCACTTCCTCATTAGCATGTGTAGCTAATTGTAGCTTTTCCTGGGTTGGGAGACCTGCTCTTCCAGGAAGGACTCAAGTTCAGCAGTGAAGAAGTGTCTTGGCATGTAGCTTGCTGTATCTCAAATGAATTTCTCTGTTATGGTAACCCAGAGAAAACCATTACAGCACTTCAGGCTGGAGAGGTGACCAAATTCATTCTGCAAGCCATTTTAATGGGACTGTTTGGTTACTAAATGATGGTCTCTGGAACCACTGTGGCAAGCCTACACTGGCAGTAATTGGTGGCTTCATTGGTATAATTCAGTCCCATGGGCCTAGCCCTGTGCCTGCAGTTATCTCTGAGGGCTTTGCCAAGCTCCTCTGCTTAGCTGTGAAATCCCTGGAGCCCAGACACTGATCTCTGCTTCTAACCAGTTTTAACTTAGGAGCAGATGAGTCAGCAAGGGCTGATTATCGATGTAATTGGGCTTTAAAACTCTGTTTACAGCTTAACAAGTGGCATTTGGTTACTTAAATCTTGTGACTCCCTAATAAACAAATCATGCTAAAACTAAAACTGAAAAGAGTAAACCAAGACAATATGTTGGAGGGATGTAAGATGACAATATTTTTTTTTTTTGTTATCAGCCAGATTGCTGGAACTGCTGGGGCAATCCACTGGAAAAAACAGTGGTAGACTGTCAGTACAAGAACTTCCAGCTATAGCAGATAGCAACCAGAAGTAAAAGGATAATCAAAAAGCTCCTGTTTTAAGGCAGAAATTAGCTAGCACTGGAGAGTAACTTATGATTAAATATACATATATGCATATACATAAATTCAAACAAACTGGAAGGAAGTATCCAATCAACGGTTAGCTTAATTTTTCCCCTTTAAAAAGCTATGGTTGCTTTAGGCAATGGAACAGGGTGAGGGCTCTGTTTTGTCAGCATGCTTTACAGCACAAGGTAACCTCAGCTGCACTCAAGAGCTATGCATACCACGCATCCATATTTAATCAAAAGAATATGATCTCTCAGTGAGGTTGACCCTGAAGCTTCTGCTTCTTCCTCAGGTCTGAGTTATTTTCATCTGGTTTAGCTCAGCAGGAGGCCCCCTAGTGACAAAGGACAATCCTGAATTCACCCAAGCCATTTCCAGGCAAGTACACAAAAATCACGTTTGCATACACACAGATATGTTTGAGAAATAAATATAAAGGTGAAGAAACAGGGCAGACACCAAACATTCTCCTGCAAGATGAAGACTGGTACAGCAGGCATGCATGGTATGTGGCTTCACCACACACACTCATTGATTACATAAAAACAGTTGTCTGCTAAGCCAAGAGAGTAGTGCAGCTGAAATAAATACCACTTTGGTTTAATAGCCTTACCTTACTGGAAAATAAGCTCACACTGGCATAATAGAATAGAAGACTGGGGGAATGACAGAACAGCACCTAACCACAAGCTGATTGTTTCACAATACCAAGAAACAGCTGTGTCTTGGATGGGCATTGGGTGTCAAACTCAAGGCAGGGTATCTGACTGAACACAGTTCAGCAGAACACTTCCCCTGGACACAGTGCCAGGACACCTCAACACCAGCAGTAGGGAAGACCAGCAGAGAAATAAATAGATCCTCAGTCATACTCAGGCAGCATTACAAATGCAAATGCTTATTGCTATAAATAAACCATTAAATACTTCATTTAAACAATTTAAGTATTTCAAGTCTTTCACTTCAGAACAGCTCCTCCCAGGAAAAGATACCCTGAAGTCCTACAGAGAAAGTAATCCTTGTGCAACACTGCTTTGTTCCTGGGTTAAGACAGCTGGGGGATTGGATAAACCCAGGAACTGTAGCTCTGTTTAAATGCCACACTGAAATTCCATCCCAAAGGAGATTTGAGCTAAAGAAGGTTGGGAACACTAAACAAAACATGAAAATGCTGAAGATTACTAAAAGAAAAGGATAGTAATAAAAATGAGGAAAAGAAGGAGTGATAGTCATTTATGCTCCAACTTCAGGCACAGGATTAGGAGAATATTTATCCCAATATCTGTATGTGTATCTGGTCTGTTAGAAGATCAGTTTTATGCTTGTTTTCTTTTCAGACCAATACATTAGTGCTGGTTTTGAGTAAGAAAAAGCCAGAGAGAATTTGTTCTTACTGTGCTGTATGCCTTTGCAAATAGCCACAGCTAAGGGCTGTCAGGAGCCCAGACTGGGGACAGCTGCTGCAGTGTTCAAAGCAGGATTTACAATCACATGCATCTCCACTAAGAAGAAATGTTGACTACACGTGACAGAGAGCATTAAGCTCCACACACCCTAAAAGGCTTAAATTAAGAATGCAAATGCTGCTTCTTCTTTCAAAGCAGTTCAAACAGCAAGCTATGATACATTCCATGTAAATCCAACAATGACTGCAAGTTACGAGCTCTTTAATTACAGAAAAATAAGTCTTTTATTTCATATCATTTTACACAAGCAATTTCAATATGATAGTCCATGAAAAACAAGTGCATACCCTATGGAAGTTAAGAGCTCTCAGTGAAGTCAACATAACATAGAAAGTTGTGGTTGAACAAAGCTTCCTATCTGGTTGAACTTCTGCAGCCCATCATTGCACAGAGTTAAGTTCCTTTAAAAGATTTGGTTTAAAATTAGAGTTCATTTAAATGACTGGAGGGAAAGGCACTTAATATTGCAGTTTCCAGAACATGATTTGTTTGTCTTCCCCTCCTGTAATAACACTGTTGCACTGTTCATTCATCCACATGGACATTACAGCACCTGGGAAACAAAATCACAAACAAGTAAATCCAAATGCAAGTAAGTGTGGTACTTGAGATGACAGAACAGATTTTTCTTTGAGAGAGTTTAGCATAGTCTGAGCACTGGATTACACTGACACCATATTTGCTAAGAGGAATTTTAGTAGGGTCCTAGGTAGCTGCTCTTATTCATAGTAAGGATCTCATGCTCCGTTGCCTCAGCTGACTTTTGGTACTAGTGGGACATCATTGCTATGTAGAATGCAGATGGCAACTATGGAAAGCATTCATGGAGAATGAGCTTTTTCACTGACATTTGGAATTTTCATGGTAAAAGTGTATTCACATCTTGTAGCATATGCCTCAGAAGCCCACTTCTGAAAAATCCCCAGCTACAGAATGATCTCTCCACAGGTCAAGTTCCAGTGTAAAACTTACAGCAGGGAAGTTTGAAACAACTGTTCTTAGTTAAATAGCCTTAAAAACTTGACTTAGTGAAACTTAGGTAGTTGTTCCTACACATCCTGGTTGCTGATATACTGGCACTATATAGATACATTTAATCTGCCTATAGATCCCCATCCAAAACGAATTTACTAGAGAACTTTACCTAACGTTGTTAGACTCAGCCTGGACAGACTGTGGCAAAGAATACAGTACAGCCTATACTATATTTGAGGGCCAACAGGTAGAAAAATGTTGACTTTTGCAATTTTGTGGTAATTAGAAAAATTGAAAGTCATTTCCCTTTGGCCAGTCTTCTACAAAGCAATATTCCTCCATTCTTACTTGATTTCCTAGGAGGCTTACATGGACCTACTTCTAATTCTGGTGTTTCAGGTAAAGCTGA